CCCCCCCCCCGGCCCTGACTAGCTGGATGGGACCAGCTGAAGACCCTCCTGCAGTCAGACAGGGGTTAAATACACCCCCGGGGGCCCAATCATCCCCATTCTGTAGATGTGGAAACTGAGGCTAGAGGGAGTTGTTACCCAAGGCGACAGAGACAACACCAGCATCCAGGCTTGTCAGCCTCCAAACCCATCTCCTTTCCGCAGAGCTGTCCTGCACCATCCTGGAAACAGCTCCCAGGGCTTGCTTCACACACCATGTCAGCTCTTGGATTCTAGTGCATACGATTCTGGAATTCTATTTACCATTCCCCTAATTAAAACTCACATCCCCTAAAGAGATGGCCGGCAGCTTGAGAGCAGGGCTCACGCTGAACCTGTGTTGAATTAGCAGCATTTAGAATTCCAGCTCATTGGCATCGGATGTGATCTTAAAGAACTCCTTGGTCCAGGTCCCCCATGGTACATATCGGGGAAACTGAGGCCCACGGTCATGTCGCGATGACACCAGGGAAGCGGGACTAGAACTCAAGCAGCCTATCACCCAGTCTGAGCTGCTGGTGACTGTGGGGTCACACAGATCGTGACCTGAGCTGGCTCCCCTCTGACCGAAAAGTCCCAGCCGGATGGAAAAAGAGAGCTGAGAGTATAGTGTATCCTCATCTGGATTTGGGGGTGATGCCAGAAGAGACTTCCTTCCAGGACCGGTTCCTTAGAGGTTCTCTGAGAAAGCCCGAGGAGCAAAGGAGACTCCATGAGATGTTGTCAATATAGGTCCTGCAGGGACGTGCAGAGACAATGGGGAAACCGCGGCAAGAAGGCACATCGTCAGGGGCCCTCAGAGCCTGAGATTCAAAATGAAGACTTCTAGGTTCTCAAATTTTCTCCTCTTTCACCCGGGGCCAAATAGACCTCTTCTAAAGCATGGGTGACTCCTACAGGACCACCTAAAACTTGTGCCCCAGGGGCCAGGCAAGCAGGAAGCTGGAGACTGTCTGCTAAAGCCATGGTTCCAGCACCTTCCCAGGCAGATGGATTCCTCAGGAGGCGGCAGCGACCTCGATGCGGGTGTATGGGATGCCAGCAGAGCTCTGCCGGGGGCCAAAGCTCAGGGCGAACCTGTCAAGGAGAGTCGCAGGGTGGAGGTGGGGGGGGG